ACCACTTCAATTGTAATCACAAATGTGACAAATATCCATATCAAACTGTTCCCTGAGGATATCCAACAACTTAAAAGGAGAAAGATAACAAAATAAAACCAAAAAATTGGCAGCATAACATCTGCACTCAAAGTAATGCGTATAAACATTAAATAGCGAATAATACATGGGAGCGAGCGTTTAACTCGATAGCTCACGAGTGGGAGCAGCGAACGATTGAGATGTCGAGTTGAACACGAGAAGAGAAATTTCATATCTGCAAACAAACATGTATTGTTTTGTTTATGATATAAGAAAAATAATGAATGATTGTGAATGGCGAAGGCTTGTTCGTTAACCTGGCCGAGTGGCGCGAAAGGCGAGTGACGTATCAGCAGCTGATTGGCGATATCAAACACTCGTGAAAAAATAATAAAATCTTTTGACATGTATTGTTACGGCTTTTCTCAGGGCTGGAAATCCTTGCATAACACCAACGTTTTTATGGTAAAAAATTATACTGCATTGCAGAATGTACAATAATATGATGATAAACATGATAAGGTATAGATCAGAAGGGAAGATTGTGGAGAAAAAATGGAAAGAAGTAAACTAATTTACAGAAATTTTGCATAAAGAAAGAGACCGATATGAGAAAGCTGTTCCGAAAAGATAAATGAGAAGGAGTTTGAGATAAAGTTCATAAAAATTTCACAGAAAATTAAAAGAAACTTCTACGAAAAAAATCAACAATTTAAGGGAAGAAATTGAGGAGAGAAAAGAAAAAAAAATACGCCTCTTACAATTTGTCACTGGTATAGCTCTGTATCCCTTCTTTTCCAGCAACGATGCACAGTGAAATGGCCACCATAACTAAGGGAAAACCTATCACGAAATTATAACCCAATCAAGGCGACTCGAATTGATTAAAATTAAATTAGTCAAAAATAAAATTCACATTGTACCGTAAGTTAAACTGTAAAGCAAAATACCCCATGACATGACGTGATACATATGCATCTTGGTGTTGATGTTATAAACTTTTACAACAAATAGATAGAGATAAATTCCCTCGACGAGCATCCAACAGAAAGCGGCCATCAGAAAATACTGCATAATAGCTGCTACCATGACACACACTGCCTGCACAGATACGTAAAGAAGACACCAAAATCTTTTGTCATTTCAATGCTTTGTTCGATCATAATGTCTTTAATATCAATGAAAAAAACCAATGCAATGCAAAGCAATGGAAAAAACCACCCACCTTGTTCTCTGTTGCGTTTATACCAGAGAGAAAAATTACTTGTCCAGCTCCTAAAGCCACAGCGAGACTTACGCGTATTTGAGACAGAGGTTGACGAAGATCTCTGTTAAAATCAAGATATGAACAGCAACAGCAACACACACACACAAAAAACATCAAAAACAAGAACAAAAAGCATGAGAGAAAGCAAGAAATAGTACTTAGGAAGATGAACTTGGATACTGATAATTAGTACCTAAACATTTTTCTTTATTTTGTATTAATTATTCTTTTTGGAGGGGGGGGGGGGTTGGGGGCGGGGGGAGCATGAACATTACACTGGCTTTATTTATTTACTACATCTTCCAAGGTATTTAAGGATGTTCTTCCTGATAATTTGATTACAGTACTTACGTGAGGAAAGAATATAAAGTTATTGTCGAAAGCATTCCGATGATGGAAAGGCTTAACCCTACGTATGTGATGATCTCCAAAACAGCTATGTCGTTCTCGGATAGCTGCGTCTAAAACAAAAGCAAAAGAAAGAAATGCTTTAATTAACCACGCGGACCCATTTCTAGTTTGTAAGTAAAATAAATAACAATGGTCATAATGATAATAATAATATTAATAATACTAATAATAAAAATAATAGAGGTACCTTTGTGCTACCACCGAAGTCAACTAAGACAGCGAAATGAGTCAAATGATTGCAGCTGCAAATTGTTTCTCCTGAGTTGCTCTTCGAATGATCCACATGACAACCCTCCCCTGAAAACCCATTCGGACTAAAACCAAAGGAATATTAAGGTATAAGAAATAACAATAACGATTTTTCTTTCTCAGAGGGTACGGTAACAAATTCAGCAATCTGATTGGCTATATGTTATTCGGTGAATAACATATGAATTAAAAAATATCGGGGCTTAAAATACTAGTCAGTGTTGATTGCCTCTGTTATGGTATTTTATAGCAAGAAGCGTTTGGTCTCTTACTGGTGATTCTAATCTGAAAATCAGGACTATCTTCCTCGCAAATGAGGGCTTGACCGATAACCTCCAATTTCTAAACACAATTTTGGACTAAACAAAAAAAAGATGGAATTCCAAAGCATATTTAACAATATCTTTGTATTTACCTGCTTTTGAAACCACTCCAAAACATGCAATGCTTTTCTTCTTCAACGAACTGAAAATATATTTTACATGTTTTTCTATTAAATTAATCCAACATGACACAAAGGGAACGAGCTTATCTTTCAGTGTTCTGGCTTTTACCTGTAGGTTTCTGAACTTCAAGATAGCATCTCGTCGTAATTTTTCAGGTTTAGGACTCATCCCTGCCGTCATTATTCTAGTGTTGACATACCTGTAGAGAAATATTGTTCTATGCTATCAAGTTTTGTAAACCATTAAATTGCATTTACATATAACTGCATGAAGTACACTTTATGTCATTTTCATCTTCAACATAAAACGGTGATGATAAAAACTAACTTCTCTGCGTGATTTTGAGAGTTTACTGTGTGAAAAAGAAAACCTAACAGGTGGGAAATTTCTTCAAATGAGCTTAAAAACGGACTTCGGTCATCGTCTTCTTTGTTCACTGCCGTTTAACGTTACCTAGAAGTATTAGTTTCTTCCCCAGAGGATTGATTTCCCAGCAGTAATTCATGAAGATTCCTGTACACGCACCCTACAATCACTGACCCTAAAAAAAAAAACAAACAGTCAGAGTGTGGAAAAAAAGTCATTGTAACGCTAGACGATGGGATATTCTCAGCATAAACATATTCGAGATGACGATCCATCAAGTTCCTCTCTACTTTCTTTAACCAAAGAACTGATTTGGTTAAAATACAGTATGGGCCAAAATGCTTTCAAAGAGCATTTTCGAGCATTACTATTTTTTTGACTCATTTATTTTGCCATTTGATCACCTAGCTGGCGAACGCTACATCATTGTTCGTTGATCATTCTGCATAAGCTATTTGACCCCCAGACTCCACTGGCAGAGACCAACTAAAATGCTTTGGTTATTTTTTACTTTCCTATGTAAGTAAAGTGGCCCATGGGGCCGGTGCTTAACTCCGGTTTTCTTAGCATGAAGCGGCTAGGAGTATTGCTACTCCCCCCTGGATGGGATGCTAGTCCATCGCAGAGTTATCCTTAGCACATTTGCTAGTACCCATTTGTACACCTGGGTGAACAGAAGCACTGTGAGAGTAAAGTGTCTTGCCTAACAACAAAACACAATGACCCAGTCCAGGGCTCGAACCCGGACCACCCGATCCAGAGTCGAGCGCACTAACTATGAGGCCACCGTGCCTCCACCACTTACCTATGACATCAGTGAAAATATAGAAATGTTTTCCGTGCTCAAAGAAATTGACCCCACATTCTACTAATTAAATTGCGAAACAATCTACTTCGAATTTTGGGAGAACACTCAAGAAGTTTCTATATCACGAGCTAGGCGTCGTGTGTGATTGGCAAACTTTCCGACCATTCTCTTAGCTACCTATCAGGGTCATCAGGTCGGTTTAACGATAGAATGTGCGGTATTTTGCGGCTATAATTTAAACTTTGATTTTCTATGGATTTACCTGTGCAGTAAACGAAAGATTTTTGACCATTCGGGGCGTACGTACTTTCTCAGCTGTTTTGAAATGTTTGATGATTGACAAATAACACACTGATATGCAAAATATCTGATATCTAAATAATAGAACAAAAAATAGAAAAAATGCTATTCTATGATTTAGAGTTTAAAATGTGGTTAACACGAACCTTTTTCAGCAAAATCATCCGAGGATATATTAATGCTGCTTTCCCATTCTTCCTCCTTGAGGAAGAAGTCAGTTGCATTATGGCGGTAGCCAATTTGAATACCCAAAACTGTCACAAGAAGGAGAAGATGTTAGGTGATGATTGGAATTGAAGGAGATGACGATAGCACATGCAGATCTGCATCTTGCTTCCATAAGTCTTTCAAGAATTCACCCGTGTCATTTAATTTTTAAGGCCAGGCGGCAAACAGACCATATAGTTAGTCAATTGGTCAGTAGGTTAGTTACTAATAAAAAAGTACTAACTCACCCATTGTTCGGCTTGTGATCGTTGTAGAAGGATTCGTTCCATTCAGATGGTATTTACCATAATTGAGGGCAAATTCCTCGAAGGCGACTGCCACCTTAAAGATGGATTCTCTTCTCGTTTCATCTCCTCCATCATTAAGTTGGCCTTTATTGGGTGCCGTGATGTTCAGAAAATTATCGATGAAGTCTTCAAATACACCCATAGCCTCCTATAAGTACCAAAAAGTTATCTCTAATCGTGTCGAACGTCATCACAATGAGAAAGCAAAAGCGCACATCATAAGACTTAGAGTGATTGGGTGTTGCATATTTGAAAGAGAAGCGTTTCAACAGAATATCATTTCAGCGAGTGCGCCACTTTTTTTTGGAGGAGATATACTTTCCTACGTTAAATTCTTGTGATGCTAATAACACACTGTATTGTCATGCTTTTGTCTCTGTTTAAAACGCTTTTGCATCTTACGAACTGCAGCGTTGCATAGGTAACTATTTTAGTTACCGCACATTTCACATCTCCAAGTATTCTTAATCTTGTTATAAGGAGACACTAGTGCATTCATACCTTCAAAGAATTATTTCTCCTGCTATCCATTTCATAAAGTTTAGAAACAGAACCATTTGCCTATGGTAAAGAAAGACAAAAGCGTTGAGGAATGGCAGAACCCATGAGAATTATTATTACAATAAAAAAAAAAGCGAAATTGCGGAACATACCAGATTCTTAAGTACTCCTAACGGAGGTGTCCAAGTTGACAATGGCAAAGACGATGATGCTGCTGTTGGTAATGGTTTTGATGATACTGATTCTGATTCTGCTGTTGCTGTTGCTTGTACTCCTGATGATGATGACGATACTGAAAAGGATGGTAATGGTGATGGTGAAAGTAATGATAACGGTGATGACGACGATGACTGCAACTGATCTGTATGTTGAAGTAAAAGATAGATGTCAAAACAACAGTGAACTAAAGTTAAAAAGCAATGATAAAGCGCAAGGAATTCAGAATATGAACGATGAAGAAAGTGCTCTTCTATTTAACGATTCATTAACATTAAATCGTGAAAAAGACAAATTTACTTTGTTAAGTTTACTCACAGCAAGTATGAGGATTATCTTTTCGCTGCCCTGTTGAAATTGAAGTAGTGAAACATTGACTTGCCGTTGACGGAACTAATGAAGTGCAATTCGATCCGTATGAATCAGAAGAGCTACAGAGGCCCCTTAAACATTTCGTACACATGCAGCGTTTATCTCCGCCACAGGTGGTTTGAAAGATACCCTGCGTGAGAGAATATGAGTCCAAGGATGACATGAGACTTCCACAACATTGACCATTCCCAGAGCATATAACCCTATCTTGAGGACTAATGGGCCAAGTTCTAGTGATATGACATGTGACAGCCTCGCATGACTGTGTACAATCACTTGCATCACAATGCATATTGCACACGTTCACCTCATTGTTGCAGTGCTGTTTTATGCATCGTCCCCCTCCGCAGTTCATTTTGCATGTTTTAGCTTCGCAAGTTTGTTCACAATCCCCTTTACCACATTCCAGAGCCATTTCACATACTCCTCCACTGGCGTAGCACTCCTGTTTTTTACACCGTCCCTTGCTGCAGTTCATTTTGCATGTTTTAGCTTTGCAAGTTTGTTCACAATCCCCTCCGCTACATTCCAGAGCCATTTCACATTCTTCTCCTTCACTTGTGCACATCTGTTTGCATCCTTCCCCTAGACAGGTACACGGATTAGCGTAGCTCTGAAGTGGATTGCAAGAATAAGCGCTATTAGCACATTCCAATGTATACATATCCTGGTTGCATGAGTTACCGTGCACCCAAAAGCCTGAAAAAGAAAATGTTGGTGATAAATCTTGGTGAAGATAATAGTTTTATCATATATGATGACAGTTCGCTGACCATGATGGTTCCCACGTACATCCACCCCATCCAAAAAAAAGAAGAAAAAAAAAGAAAAGGAAGGAGATTCATAAAATTGTTGAATAAATATAGCGTAGAACTTTCATCATATCTACCATTTCATTAAAGTGTGAATAAATATAGCATTAAGAACTATAACCTCCTATTTGGAGCAGGTATCAAGTCCTCGTGAAGCTGCTAGACGTTACTGACCAATTCGCGAATTAAGGTAAACCGATTTCCTCAAAAATTAACAAACATCTAAATAGAGGTGCTTTATCAGCATGCATTTCATCTGGTATGTCCTGTACTGAACTATTTAAACCGATTTTTATCCACTTATTTATTTCTTTTTTTTTTTCACTTTTGCAAGAATGGTGCGTTCTTTACTACGTACTGCATTAATGGTGTATCATGATAAATTGTTGAGTTGCAATCGTTAAGTATCGATTATTCAAATGAATGCAAGATGAAAATTGATTAAAAAAAAGGAAAATACAAGACTCATACGGGAATTGAAAAGAAGATGAAAACTGCCGTTCCCTTTTACGAGAAGACTTGAAGTGGCGTTATTAAGCTAGTAGGCTCAGTAATTTGTGAGAGTTAAAGGAAAGCTGAATGTCAAACATACATTTTGTCATTCCAGAATTTGCATATCTTCAGAGTGAATATAAATCGGGCTAAAAATCATAATTTGCATATTTGCGCAAAAGCTATTCATTCTTATGATAGACCCTTGCGTTAAATCAGACTAAAAGATTGTGGCACAGGAATACATTGGAAAATTAGTTTCTTGAGATATTTCCCTGAAAATAATTTTTCTTGGCTTCCTCATGGATGTTGGTTTGGTCTGCTGTGATGAAGGGAAAATTTTTCTAAAACCATTCTAGCGTTCTCTGGTGGTTTCACCCAGCGCTATTCGGAGAGCCATAGAATCGAATCCTCTGGGTATACATATTGTAAATATTAAACAAAATAAATCTTTTGAAAATAACTTTGCTACTCACGCAGGAAAGCACTTGATAACATGAGTGTTCCCCATATCCGGCAACTTCTAGTCATCATCGTATTTTTTCCTCGTTGTATGTGTTAAACTAAACACAGCCTTTTGGCAAATTTTCTGTGGCTGAAGATCGGTTGATATTAACTTTCTCAGTAAGCAAGGCTTGTGAGAATTCTCTCTTCAGAAATATTTGAAAGATCGCTCACATAATGTTGTTTTGAGCCAAAACCAGCTGCGTAATATAAGCATATG